TATAATTAAAAATATTTAATAAATTGATTTAACACTTGATTTTTGAAAAAAAATTTTAAGTTTTTTTTTTTATGAAATGTGATCTTTAAAATAAGGAATTATGTATTGTTCCCATAAAATAATGTCTGAGTTATAAAATAATCCTCGGCATGCAAAAAAGATGATAAAATCAGAGTAATATAATAATTTACTTCTAGTAGTTAATGGGTTAATTAATAAAGGCTTTAGTAAAACTCCAATTTTACAACACGTTTTTTATATTCCAATAATACCTCTCGTGTGTAGTAAAATAAATCATTTTTTATCGAATTTTAAAAATGATATACGAGGTATTATTTAGCCCATGTTTACTATTCTCTTGCCAATTTCTAAGCAAATCGAGATCTTTCCTTCTTCATTAGGACCCTCCAAATAAAAAATAAATCAATATGACGTACCTTTAAAGAGTACCTCAATTTAATACAGTACCCTAAAATCACATCCAAAAGTCAACGTAGACGAAAAACACCTATTTGGAGCACCTACAATCTTCCACTATATGAGAGAGAACCCTAACTGGAGCTCGTACCTTCTTCCACTATCTGATAATCTCTCCACGAAGTTGAAACCACAACCACAGAATGCATACGCCTAAAAAGAGCACCTCTCATGTAGTCTAATTAACTATTTTTCGATGGGGAACACCACATTTTATCTTGCCATTCAGATCGATCTCTCCACAATACCGTACATTAGAGTCACACAATCGGTGATGGACATGACTCGTCGGTCAATGAGAAAGGATAATCTGTTTCATCAAGAAAGTGGGCATGTTTCTAGAAAAAAAAGATCATACATAAGTCAGATGATCTCATGTACAACAAAGTGAACCTGCTCTGACACCAAATGAAAGTTTAAATCCTAGGTAATTATCGATTCATTAACTAATTTTCAGAGTTAATTATCGTCAAACAGTCTAACAAAATGGTCCTAATTGTCTGATAAACTACTTGATTCCCGATCAACCAATAGCTGTAATGAAAAATAACACTAAAGAAAATTCAAAATCCAAACAAGTGCACCAAGTCCAAAATACCAGTTATGATCACATATAAATCTCTTGGGCCTTGAGTTAATGCTGAGCTAATGTCCAACTAATTTTATTAAGAGGAAATTACACCTAACCCTATTTTTAAAATTTACATTTCATTAATCAGATTCGAAGTTTAATTTTTCTAAAATCAGGTTTTAAT